TTTTTTCCCCAAAGCTATTTTGATCTCTTTTCAACATAGAAAGCTTAACAAGCCCAAATTGATTTTGTGGGTTTAATGAGACCTTGTCTAAGCAATTCACTACATTCTTGTTTGGCTAATTGAATATCTAAAGGAGTCATTCCTAGATAAGCGACCTTCATAGGATTGACATCTTCATTAAGTTTGAAAATGAGTTGAATGAAGAAATCTTCATTCTTCCATAAAGTATTTACATGAGAGAATTCTTCATGACTATTAACACACATAAAGACTATATTACTTTTTATTTCAACAAACTCAGAAGGAGACTCAATTAAGGAGAACAATCTCATTACTTTAATGAAGGGTTTGAATTCTCTTTTGATTTTTATCTTAATGGGATGTAGTTGAAGTTTGTTTGCAACAATGTAAACATCCATGCCAATCAAGATATCCTTAGTTGGCAATTTTCTCCCAATTACTTTTGACCAAACAATGCATTTTAGAAAGAATATAATTCCAACAGGGGCTTTTGTAATCAGATCTATCTGGAACATTTCCCATCAACTACAACAAAATAAGCTACTTCTTTTTTCCAAAATATTTTTGGGAGAATATTTGGACTCATCATGGTTTTTTGTGCCCCTGTATTCATGTAAGCAGTGGCTTTATTGACAAAAAAAATTAACGTAATAATTCTTTGAATTGAGATGTTGTTCTATAAAAAAGAAAAGAATTTGACAAGAATTTTTAAAGAATGAGTCAAAGATTTTATCTCCTAAATGGTCTCGATGATCCTAGATGGTTTAGAGGTGGGGAATGAATCATTCTATGATTCTTCTAATGATGAAGCCAATTCTTCTCCTCACAAATCTAATAGTTCAAAACCTAATTATGGACCTTGGTTTACTCAATCTCTCATTACCTACCAATAATGATGGTGCTCTATTTTTCCTATCCAACAACCAAGAGGAGACTCATTTGATCATTCAAATTCCTAAGAATATCTTTAAGCAACAATTATAAGAATTCATTCATTTAGAATGGGTGACTAATCAGGCAAAGTTGCATGAACATAAAAAGCCAATATAGTTGTCAAAAGTGACTTTCAAAAGGCCTGTAGATAGGATTGTAAAAACCATATTCAAGAGACCTGAAAGCCTTTCTTATTTTTCCTTTAGAAAACTTGTATAACTTTTTTTTTTTGTGTTGAGCAAGAACAAGTTTTATCCTTGAATTTGATCTCTAAATAGAACTTTTTATAGGCTTTGTTGTTTTTAGATTTCTAATTCATGATATTAGAAACATATTGATGTTGTTTGCAAAGCTTATCTAGCCTCTAGAGTCATTTGATTAATTTGGCCCATAGTCATGGTTGAGAAGTCCTTTCGAGAAGCCATAGTCATTATGTTAAGATTACGTCCTTGTAATTATTGCCTAGAGATGTTCCTAGGGATCTGAATGATCGAAGGAGTCTCCTCTTAGTTGTTGGCAAGGAGAAATAGAGCACCATCAATACCTACATGTATGAGGTAATAATAATGAGATTTAGTATACTGTGAGATATCAATAGGTGAAATAAGTGTTAATCTTGGTGGAAAATCTTTAGTTACTTTGACTTTGGTTGGAAAAGGCTTCACCATGAATATCAAAGGGAAACTATGAGTAGTAGTGATCAACTAAATCATTCTTCTAGGCCTTGAGAGATCCATACTCTTTATTGTCTTCTCCTCGTCCTACATTCCATTTTCCTTTTCAAAAATCACTTACTTACTTTTTCCCGCAACCAAAGTCCTCATAGACCTTACCCACACAACTTACAGACCAAAACCTAATCTTGAACCTTCATTAGAGAAACTAAGACCTTCTAAACACTCAAGGAGCTAAATACTTTATCTACAAATTCTTTAGAATCACCTCAAAAGACACAACCAATTTTCAAGAGGGAGTACATATGGTATGAATGCTAGACTTACTCCGTTCAATAACTCATGTTCTACATCAAATTTTAACGATCCAACCGTTGAATTTAAAGTTCTTAATGTACAGATCAAAGCTGTAAATTTTAAAAAAATTTGAAAATCATTTGATACTTTGTTTCATTAATTCAAATCAATGTATAAAATGAATTTATGATTATCCGTCAATTTGAATTAATGAAGTGAAGTATTAAATAATTTTGAAATTTTTTAAAAATTTGGAGACTTAATCTATGCATTAAGAACTTTAAATTCAACGGTTGGATCGTTGAAATTTGATGTAGAATATGAGTTATTGAACGGAACAAATCTAGGTAGACTTACTCCTGGAGTAAACGGATCCATTCTCTCTCTCTCTCTCACACATACACATAGACACACAGACACACACATACAACCATATATATATATATATATATATATGCGTCCAGAGAATACA